TTTTTGGATCTACAATCTGTAAATAAACAAACAAAAACTAAAAAAAAAAACATCATCGGTATCATTTGGAACCACTTTTTTTCTTTCTTTCTGGGGTGTCATTTGTATTTTGAGAAAGTTAAGGGCGTGGTCATTCATAGATGAGTGTTGTTGCTATTGGGATTGTTCCATTGAGCTCTACATAAGGCCCGAAATGTAGACTCCAGCGACCACTGGTGAAAGAGAGGGCACGGCCATTCAGGCTACGTCCTATCGCCATCCTCAAACTGACCACCAAGCCTGAGTGTCGCGTCCTTCCCTCCCTTCTACAAAACCTGCTTTGTCTGTTACCTACCCTACATCGTCCAGACTGCTTGGCTGAGTCACTGCCGCTACCGCCGGTCACGTGGTTGCTCACATCAAGCCTGCTTTTCTTCTTGGCACACTGACATCCTTAAAATTGTTCTCTCCTTCTTTTCATGGACCATAGAATCCTCTTTTTTTTGTTTTTCTCTCAAACACTCTCAATGTTTTTTTTTGTAGACTATGGACAAAAGAAGAGAAGAAAAGGAAGACAGACAGTAAATCAAGCAAGCAAGCCAAAAAAAAAACCCCAAAGTGGGCCGGAGCGGAGGGAGATGGTGGTGAGCTACCAAACTGAGCTGGTAATAATGAGGCCAGGATACAACAGGAGAAGAAAAAGAAAGAAGGTATCAAAACCAAAAATACAAAATGAGTCAAGCAGAAAAAGATGATGATGGGGATGGGGATGAAGAAGGAAGGAATGAATTAAGGAGGGGGTTGATGTAAGCGAGAAGAGGTAGCCACGGAGGTAGGCGTAGTCAAGGAAGTGCCCAAGCGAGGAAGACAGAGCGGGGAAGAAAACTGAAGAGAGCTGCGGGCGATCTTGAAGGTTTTTTGGCCGTTCGGAGGAGGACAAGAGCGACGAGGATCGACTGAAGAAGATGAGTTGGAGGGGGAAAGAGTTTCGAAGTGCGAGGTGGAACGAAGTCCAGCACTGGATTTGATGCGTCCTTGACTATCCTCTTCCTCGATCGTTTGTCTTGAATCTTCTTGTCGATGATGATGATCATGCTCGCTAGTCATTGTTTGTAAGGATTGGTTGACGAGATTGGATGGTCTCAACGCTCCTAAACTGCACCTTTCTAGCTGCGAAATCGGATGGAATGTGAGCGAGTTCTCTGCGTTTTCTTCATATTCATGCTGCTGCTGCTGCTGGC